TGTTAAGTGTGTTTAGCCTCTTTGTTGAAGAGACGGCCAACAAGGTAACGTGCAGGCTCATTCTGTCGCCTTCGCATGCCTGCTGGCAGGCATCATTCAAGGGCTGCCTTTGGACAAGGACTTGTCATGGAAGGTCTATACGCAGGCAGGTGACCCTTTACCTTTCTCTTCCGTCCACAGTGACAAGGACCATGACGCAGAGTATGGAGACTACACAGAGCCTGACTCCTTACTTTGGTTTGGGATGATTGCAGAAGGTACCAAGAATGTTGGCAAGAATATTGAGCCAGCGCATCGTGGTGTGGAGCTCTATGGGAAGTTCTGTGCCTTTGCCTTTGAGCAATATCATGTTGCGTATAGGTTCTTTTTCCGTAGGAGTCAAGGGCATCGCTACTAGGAGCATAGACTGGGGGCTCCTGGCCTTACTACTAGGAGCAAGGACGCTACTAGGGGCTCCTGGCATCGCTACGAACGGAGCATTCTTACTACTAGCAACAAGAAGCTACTACGTCCTACCTCCGAGACAAGACGGTTCCCTGACTTTGGGTCACTCAGCTCAGGTGCATTTTACGGAGTCCTTGGCTCAGCATACTATTGCGCGGCTCGTTTCCCCGAGGACTTTGAAAAGGCCATGCTGTGCAGCTTGAATGGAGGCGGACAAAACACCATGCGCAGCAGCTTAGTTGGAGCACTGCTCGGCGCACGCGTGGGCCTCAAGAGCATTCCCAAGCGCTTCATCCAGGGTTTAGAGGACCATGAAAACATCGTTGCCTTGGCCACGCACGTGGCGCAAGATGCTTTGGATCGGGTCACGTCCTCCGATGGTTGGCGATGGCCGAAAGGTGAGGAAAAACTGCCGGCGATAGGGGTCAAGAAGCAGTCTGAGTAGAGCCAGAGTTCTTCCACCAGACCAAAGCCTCAGATGAATTTTTCGCTTAGCTCGTTGGAATCGAGCGAAGACAGGCTGGAGAGGGCTCAATGAATCGAGGATCAATACCCCGGAGACGTGGAATCATAACGCCCCAAACCTGTTTCACCCAACCTCTTTATAGACATGATCCACATAAAGATTCAACAACTTCGTAGCCGTGTCTTTACCTCCCAAACCTCCAGATCACCGTGGGAAGATCCAAGTCGGACTGCGCAGCATGCAACGGTTCCGTCGGACTGCAAAACCAGGCGGAACTTGAAGAAAAAGAACGGCCACAGATGTTGGTTGAGCGCCATGAATCGCATTTTGTTGGAAGGGTGCTTCTTGATGAGTGCTTGTATCAATCCCAGACACTTCATGTATGATATGATATATTTATTTATATATAATACCAATTGGTGTAGTTTTATTGGTCAATGTATATCTTCCAGTCCCATCAGTCGTGTCTGGGAATGTTCTCAGTCGCTCTCAGCTTCTACTTGTTTCGGGGCTCCTCACACAGGTTGCAGTTCAGGGGTGCTTCGCCGTATTCACGGGGGCAAAGAGCTGGTCACACTGACACGCTAGTTACAAGGGGGAACCGCTATAGCGACGGGTAGGTAGAGCCAAAGACACCGTGGATTTCGTGGTGGTCTGAAGGGGTTCTTCACGAGTCATTCACGTGGACGTAGAAGGCATAGCGAGGAAAGGGGTTCTTCACAAAGAAAAGGCCAGTAAGTAGGGGGTTCTTCTAGGTTGGAGGCCATCGCTAGTAGGTTGGAGGCCATCGCTATTGAATCGCTATTATAATAAAGAAATACAGACGGAAAGAAAGAAATTATGTTTAGGAGTTTAGGGGATGACTTTTATTAGGTTGGAGGCCAACGATGTGCAGCTCTCGCCCGCCATCTGTCTCCTGCGGCTCCGTTGATGGAGAGCTTCAATCAAGTGATGGGTGTCAAGGGTAGCACGGAGGAGTCTTGAGTTCAAGTTGAGCCTAGCCATGCCTAGGATGTTCAAGGCATTTCTTCACTGGCGCCAAGCCGATGACTATAGGGCTCATCTCATGAATCTAGAACCTGAAGTTCTCAGGGCGATTTTGTGTTTGGGTCAGGCAAACAATCCACCTCCCCTGCAGTTGGTGTTTGTGCTGTGCGGGGCCAACGATCTATATATACCTCTTATCCTTTTGCATTTGTTCCTAGCCACAGGCGGCTTTCAGACCCGCTCCAGCCAATCACTGGGGAAGTTCCCTCCCTTCTCATCTTTCGACCCACTGCATGGATGGAAGTTCTCCATCCATGAGCGATGAATGCTTGCCTCTTGGCTTGAAAAACGAAGGACGTTTTAAGTCGATGTTTGGTGGAGGCAGATCGAAGTTGAATGAACAAATCAAGGACAAAACAAGTTGTTTCTTTTTGTGGTGTTTCTTATTTTTGCTTTCCGTCTGCTTTGGACTCAATTATGATGCTACCTGCGCACGCTTATTGGAGTCGGTGGGGCATAATGGTGCGTTTGGGAAGCTGTGAAACCCGGGTTGATTTGGAATTCCCGTCCTCGAGCTGTTTGAACGCTATATCTTTTGGAGTTTTAAGTGTTTCGAGCCCAGGGAATTTGTTTGGATCATTGTTCTGGTGCGAAAAGCACCGGGGTAGACTTGGGTTTGACATCCAACAGCTGTTTGGAGCTTTGGAGCTTGTTGATGTCCTTTGATTTCGTTGCTGGTTGCGTTTCGAGGCCCCAACGGCCTAGCCAAGGCGGGTTGTGCCGGGTGACTTGCGGAACCAAGATTGAACCATGGCCCTGAATGGGTAGATGCATCAGAAAGGAAAAAACACACGGCATCAAACAGTACCCTCAACTATTACATGTTGGAATGGGTGACCCTCCGTATACATATGTATACATGATAAGATGTATTAATATGTTATATATATATATATTATATATTATATATAAACACACTATAGTGATACATACTTGCATCAAACTGCTCCTTCGACGCCGTCCACGGATAGGGCCGCACCTTCATTCCTGGCCGCTACTCCCTGAGTCAGACCGGTCCTGGCGGGTGTGCAGTTCACGTAAGACCACTGTCCACAAAGCAAGATGAGTCAGGTGAAGTTTCTATACGAATTATATAGTAGCAAGGACGCTATGCTTGGTGGAGGCCATCGCAAATAGGTTGGAGGCCATTGCTACTAGTAACAAAAAAAAGCTACTAAGTCCCCTTTTCTGCAGATCCATGCATCCACCTTCTCAAAAGGTTTGGGGCAGGCTGACCATGGCTGACCAATTGGGTGGCTAACTCAAACGATGTGGATGGCTTGGTGCTTGGTGGTTTCTTCGACGGCTTCTTCCGCTCCCAGTCGTGGGCTTGGAGCCTCCCATGTTTCACATCTCGCGCGCGCGACAAGGCTCCTAGTAGCATCCTCTTGCTCCTAGTAGCTTCTTGTTACTACTAGTAAGGCACTTGTTACTAGAAGCGATGCACTTGTTCCTAGTAGCGAACATTGCTCCGTTCGTAGTAAGGCCAGGAGCCCCGTTCGTAGCATCCTTTGCTCCGTTCGTAGCGTCCTCTACCCCCCCCTCGAGTAATTATGACCTGAGTCATGTGCACGTGACCGACCCACTGATTGACCGTGTCTAGTCGACCACATTTTGCGACATCACACACCTTTTGTCTCTATATCGACCTACACTGAGAGTGGAAGTCTCTGACACCCAAGACCTCTCAGATGACTTCACTCTATCTGGTCTTTGAGACCTACCCTTTTTGTTTCGACTGAACGACCTCATCGCCGACTCATCTGTCGACACAGGGCATCCTTCGCGAGCCAAAGACGCCCGCGCCCAAAGAGCAAGCGACGCCGGCGCCCACGGCCGAGGAGACGGTTCTGTCCGGTTCTGGTCGTCCTCCAAGACGGCCATCACCGGGGTGGGTGGTGGAGGGTCCTTTGGTTCATCGGGCTGTCTCTTTGGTATGTGGTTTTGAGTGGTATGTGGTTGATTGGAGCAACAACCTCCTAGTTTGTTGCTCCGCACCCAAAGGCATGAAGCTTGGAAGTTGCAGCTCTGGATGATTTGGGCCGTTCGGAGGTCCACTACGTTCTGGTTGGTCGGAGGTCCAGTTCTTAATTCTTCTTGCCATTCTTTGAGAACAAATGAGAAAAAGATAGTCAGACAGTGCTCATTTGGGAAAGCAGATCCTTGAACACAGAAAGTTCCATGTTTCCATTATTTTTCATGAGCTGACTTTTCCCAATTATGGTTTGGGCATTTGCACAGGAGTATAGCTCCTATGAAACGGAGACCGAAGAAGAAGGCCAAGCACTTAGTGAATAGAAATGTGATTGCCGCGACAGAGGTCAATCAATCAGCCATGGCACACGTGTCACAGCACAATGGCTTATTGTTTGTTGTTTTGGCATTTCCCGTTTCTCAGGCGGGGGGAGTTGACGACCTTTTTCGTCCTTTCTCTTGCCACTCAGTATCACTCAGCCACCCGGTCGCGCTGTCAGGTGCGCAAAATCGCTTCCTCTTGCTTCTGCTTCAGCTTCACGTCATCTTGTCTCTTCTCGATGGCCTCACTCGGAAAATCAGCCCGGCAGTTGACTGGCAGGGTGGACTGTCCGATCCCTGTTGATTGGAACATGAAAAGCAACAAAGGATGAAACATGTCGACGTCTCATTCCTTCTTGTTCCTTCTCATTCCTTGGAGGTCATCGCTAATAGGTTGGAGCCCATGGCCCTTAGGTTGGAGGCCATTCCTGTTAGGTTGGAGGCCATTGCTATTAGGTTCCTTTTGCTATTAGGAGCAAAGGCCATCGCTGTTCGGTTCCTTTTGCCATTCGGATTCCTCACGGTCAAGGCCCACCACCCGCGCCACCGCCGCCTGCGCCGCCTGCTGCGCCGGCAGCTGCGCCGGCAGCTCCCGTCGCCGCACGCGCGCAGCTGCCGCCGGCGCCGGTCACGGAGCGTCGGGACATGGCCTGTGGGCCGGATGTGCCGTACCGAGAGCCAAGGTGGGCAGTGGATGGGTGGGACTCAACAGCCAGTTTTTGACTGGCTTAGCACTCGTTTAAAACAGGTCTAACTTGTGATTGTTGGACTCAATCCAATGGATTACACAGCCAGGTCTGCTAGCAACAGGTTGATTCTCTTTCAGTGTTGGCTCTGCCACTGCTGAAACATGACGAAAGTGGTAGGTTCTTTTCTAGGTCTTTGACCGTCCACGCGGCGAACACGTCGGCGACGCCGGTGGTTTCGCGCCACGTCGCCTTCCGCGAGCCGTGAAGTGGTCGTCGACAGACTCCGCCGTGGTGGACATCCCGATGAAACTCGGGTGATCTCGGACTCTGAAAGCATGTGAAAGCTACAGTTCTAGCTGCGATCAAACACTTGCGCGAGCAAATGCAGAACCACTGCTGCAAGAATAGCAAAACAAATGCCAACACAAGACACAAAAAGAAGACTTGGAAAGCAAAAACACATTGCACCAAACGCCAAAAATAGCCCAGCTGGATTGGATTTCCAAGTCAAACAGAATATGCACGCACCCAATGCAAACACACATGCGAATCATTGCAATCCAATTCCAAATTTGTTTGACAACCCTTCTTCCACTTCCTTCCCCTCGCAAAGATTGCCCACACGCCAAGCTGAAACGCCCCAGCTCCGCCCGGGCTCAGCCGTTGAGGCCACCAGCCATGCTTGACGTCGCATGTCAGACGAAGGAGTCCTGCTTCGAGCGCTCGGTACGTCACTGGGCGTTCACAGTCGTTTCACAGAGAGAATAACCGTTCGTAGCTTCCTGTTACTACTAGTAAGGCACTTGTTACTAGAAGCGATGCACTTGTTCGTAGCTTCTTGTTACTAGTAGGCACTGTTTTTGTTTTTGTTTTGCTACTAGTAAGAGGTGCATCGCTAGTAACTAACAAGGGCCTTACTAGTAGTAACAAGAAGCTAGAATTAAATTAGAGTTAGTAAGGATGCTACCTGGTAGCGATACCCTTTGTTCCTAGTAGCGAACATTGCTCCGTTCGTAGTAAGGCCGGTTTCGCCCCGATCGTAGCTCCAACCACCTCCCACCAGACCTCCCAGACCCACCCGGAGCGGTTTATTTGTTCCGTGGGGAGGGGGTGAGTACCGGAGGAAAGAATTTCTTCGCCGGTTCAAAGAACAGAGCAAGGGCATCGCTACGAACGGAGCAAAGGGCATCGCTACGAACGGAGCAAGGAAGCTACGAAGGGGGCCGTCCTACTAGGAGCAAGGACGCTACGAACGGAGCAAAGACCCTTGCAAAGAACAGGTCCGCGGCGTCCCATGGTGCGCGTCCGCGTCCGTGGGACTGGAAGATTGGCGAATGATGTCCATCGGCTCCGCCACGTGTCCGCGTCTCGCGTCTCTCGACCGATCGACCGTCCGCGTGTGTGTCGCGTGTGTCGTTGGTCATTGAAAGTCAGCAAGCCTCGCATCCCAGTCGACTGGTGCTGAACCACTAAGGAGTGAAGTAAACAAAGCAACCGTGAGAGAGAGAGAGAGAGAGAGAGCAAGTCCTGCAAATCAATGTGAATAGAATCAATATGAATCAATAGGATGCACTAGGATTCACTATGATCTTCTGAGATTGATATTGATTCACTTGATTCACATATTTGCACTATCTATGACCCCCCAAAATATTGATGCTCCCCATCCTGATCCCCGAATTTCTTCGAAAAAACCATCGGTCGATCGTCTCCGTGGCGTGTTTGCACGGTTGCCCTAGGGGATGTGGCCTGTGGTCCAGATGAGCCGATGAGCTTCCCAGGAGGGGAACTTCATTGCATTCATATTGGATTCCATAGTACTGTAGGTTGGAGACCATCGCTAGTAGGGCCTTAGGGTGGAGGCCATCGCTCTTAGGTTGGAGGCAGGCGCTACTAGGGTGGAGGCCATCGCTCTTAGGTTGGAGGCCATCGCTATTAGGTTGGAGGCCGACGCTCTTTGGTTGGAGGCCATCGATCTTGGGTTGGAGGCCATGGCTAGTAGGTTAGAGGCCATCGCTAGTAGGTTGGAGACCATCGCTAGTAGGGCCTTAGGGTGGAGGCCATTGCTCTTAGGTTGGAGGCCATCGCGATGAAGAGTTCTTTACGCCGTGTAACGTTTGAGAATAAGTTTCCCTGTGTAAGACGATGGGAGCCCTAAAGAACCGATACCATGACCTCACCACACACGATGAGTCTGAATCGTCGCGCATATGGTTGCACACATGGTGATCATATGAGACCATGATGGAAACATCACATAGAACGCATATTTATATAGTAGTCATAGATGATCATAGAATTATATATTAATTGCTTTAGACGTACCTCAGAACAATAGGAGTTTGATGGAATGTCAATGAATGTCATGTATGGAATTATATGGATTCAATTTCATGGCAAATCTTCTTCCACACATGATATGGATGCTTCACCATTCATTTTCACGAAATCAGTTCCTTGAAGAGTGACCTATCGAAATCAGTTCCTTGAAGAGATGAGTGACCTACGATTGACCTATATCCATCCCTATGGCCGTGGAGGCGCTCCATCTGCACCCGTGACTGCGGCACCGGCGGCGCCGGACGGTGCTGTGGCACCCGAGATGCAGCGCGGACCGCATTTCTGGGGACTGTCGTTTTGCACGTAGCAACGGCCTCCAAACATCTCCAAACATCATTAAACTGAAAAACATATAAACAGACTTAAGCTTCTTTTGAATTACTAGTGACTAGTGGCTTCCAACCCAATAGTGATGGCCTCCGTAAGAGTGATGGCCTCCAACCAGAGGGCCCGTAGTGATGGCCTCCCTGCGAGCAGTTCGCCTTCCCTCGCCTCTAAGACGATGTAACTCCATGGTGAGTCGACTCACAAGCCGGATTCGAGTGAGAACAACTAAACATTGCTTGGTCGACACTTAAACCCACAACGCAACGCAACGCAACGCAACTCGTGGCGGAAAGTGATTGAATTTAAAGATCGTGTTCAGGGAGATTGTTTGAAACACTTGCGCCCGACATGGTTGGGAAGGGGATGGGTCGATGGCGCCACCCAGGCCACCTGAGCAGCCCAAGAAGAAGCGGAGGACGACGATGAACTCGGGGAAAGGGAAGGTGGAAGCAATGGGAAACGTTGGACAAGAAACAGAAACGGACTGTTCAACTGTGTCTTTTTTCTTGTTTCTGTTGTTTTACCTTTCCTTGTATAAAGCAACAACTTGCATCATTTCCAGTTGCGTTCTGAGCAATCGGTTCTGCATGAGGAAGATTATGAAGAGACACACCATGACATGAATGGGACCAGATGCTGATTGACTTGATGGACTCCGAACCGGTCGGCGGATCGGCCATTGGATCGCTTTACACATCTGCCCCCTAGAAGTCGAAGCACCATATATTGAATGGCCAAAACATCCGACCAAACCATTGCTTTTCTAAGGGGTCTTACACTACAAAGACCAGATCCACCTTTATTGCACTGGTCTTCACCTTCCTTTTTGGCCAAAAAAGCCCTGTCTTCCGCGTCCAAACACCACACCCAGTGACCGGGGCAAGCCGCGATCGCCGGGGGGGGGGTTCACCGGAGAACGTGCCGTGCGGATCACCGGGGTCGTGGCAAAGGAAACACCGGAAGCTTCCGGAAGGGCCCCACTGGCAGGCGGGGAACGGATGGAGGAACGGATGAGTGGAGGACGTTGGATGGGCCACTTACAGGTCTCTCCATTTTCCACATGAAGCTGAGGGGGGGCCCAGAACAGGGGGCCTGCTGGGAGTCGGCGTCTTCTCCGAGTGTGGGGGATCTTGAAATTTCATACAGATCTCTAACCCGGACACTCCGTGTATGCCATATATGCTTACATTGACCCCCCTGGCACCACCCCAACTGATTGGCAGTCCTACGGCAGTCCCATGGATCGTCGTGTCTGGGTAACGAGGACGCCTTTGCTCACGGACATTCCGACCGGCCGAACGGTGGTCGGACCGATACGAGGTGGTCTCCAGTGACGAAGACGTGACTCGAGCGAGCGAGCTTGCGCTTGCGCAGCTCCCGTGCTTGGAGGGATAGCTGGGTCCTTTGGACGGTATAATTATATCATACCTGTTTTCGGTTGCAATCATGTAGACATACCGTATACCTTTTTTTCCACCACCCTTTTCTTCTGCAGACACTAGATGTTCGACATCTTTGCCTACATCACTTTTTTTAAGGGGTGGTTTCAGAGGTCCATAATGGGACTGGGCCAATGGGCTGGCACCAAAATGGGACATCTTGGGACATCCGTTGGCAGAGCTGCTCCGCAGGCCGTCTCGACCGGAGCTGGAGCCGGCGAACCCGCTTCGATCCGGGGCGCAGGTTCCGCCGAAAAACGCGGGTTCCGCGCCGCGTCGGACGTGAAGCTGCTCGGATCCGAGAGGTTTGAATTGATTTCTTCATCTACGATGTATTTCTTGCTCCGTTCGTAGCGTCCCTTGTTACTAGTAGTACGGCCACGAGCCACGAATTCGTAGCGTCCTTGCTCCTACACCATTCTTTTTTGAGGGAGATGAATTGTGGTGTTGATGCCTTTGGAGGAAGCCAGGGAGGCATGCATGGCTGACTTGCTTCTATCCAGGCTTGTATTTGTTGATGCGCCGGCAGGACCTGATCCGCCTGAGATCAAGCGAGACCTTTCACCCGTAGAACCTGCGGCACCTGTGGCACCTGCAGAACCTTTGGCATCCACAGCAGCCGTCACCTTACCCGCAGCTGTTGCAGCGCCCACTCCGCCGCCGCCGGCGCCCGCTGCGCCACCGGCGCCTGACCCGTCACCTTCACCGTCCCCTTCACCGTCGCCCTCGCCCGAGCCCTCGCCAGCCGCACCGGTTCCAGAGCCGGTGGCACCGGTGGCAGAGCAATCCGTAGCCGTGGAGCCAGCGGACTCGACTGGGCTGACGGAGAGTGATTTGAGCGAGGGCAGTGAGGACTCTGCAGAGAAGGAGGAGAGGCGGAGTGACATGTTATCCACGTGACGAGCAGAATAACATCTCCAATATAAATAGACTATCCAGGGTGTGAGTTAGTCTCAAGTGTGTGTTTTTCTTTTCCGGTTTTTACTTTTTTTTGGTTAATTTTTGGGACGACGGGTGCTGTATGTGAGGCTTAAGCGGTCAAATTATGCGATGATACAAATATCAGATGTGGGGTGTGTTTCTTATCGTTCTTACCCTGTAGCTACAAAACCGAAAGTTTACGTGCTTTAGTATTGATGCCGAAAGTATCCGAAAGATTTGGTGCTCCAAGTGACCAACTCCTTTTCTGCCAACCGGAAGTGATAATGACACTTAGAGAGGTGATTTCCAGGGAAGGTAAGCATAGAGGTAGATGTTATGGTTTGGTGATTCATTAAAATCTGGTGGGTCCTGTAGCTCTTAGGTTGGAGGCCATTGCTAGTAGGTTGGAGGCCATGGCTAGTAGGTTGGAGGCCATCGCTCTTGGACTGGTAGGGGCAGAGGTATAGAGGTAATGATCCAGCTGGTCCCATTGGGTCCTGGTGGGTCCTATGGGTCTCAATCGCTTGGTGCTGAGCGAGACCTCCTTGCCACTCTGAGAGAGAGACCCTCAGGTCCAGGGTTTTGAATGAATATAGGTGGACCAGTAGGTGGACCTGGTGACTGCCTGGATGATCTGGAATCCGGACATCCGGTCGAAAGGGTAAATACAACAACTCTCGTAACGGAAGTTGAGTTCTTCAGGCGGTTCTTCAGGCGGATGACCCGGGCGGGATGTTGAACTCCTTGGGCCTCTTAGAGGCGGACGGTTGGCAGTCCGACTTCTGTTTGGCAATGATTCAGAGTTAGGACAGAATCCAACTGCCAAAAAATATGGAATAACAAAGGCCAACAAGAAGAGTTTTCCACCTGAGACTACTTTCTGTCGAGGAGCCAGAGAAGATGGAGGAGGCAGAGAAGATAGAAAAGGAAGAGGTACAGGAGGAGTGCAGAGATTTGCAGAGTCTGGGTGGGATGATGGAAGATATTTGGGACATGGTGGTCATTTAACACTTTTTGATTCGCAGGCGGTCATTTAACGGCTTCAGATTCATCAGATTCGTCTATTTGGGTGTCAAGCGTTCTCTCGTTTTTGACAAACATAGACATCTACATCGGAAGGTACCAGCTATAGAGTCTCTCAGCGACACGATGATCATGTAAGGGCTTGTATAATGTTTGGATCAAAAGCATCCCTTCTTATCCCTCCCTTTGCTTTTATTCCTTTTGAGGAGCCGGAGCCGAAGCCAGAGCTGAAGCTGGAAGCGCCGGTGGAAGCGCCGGTGGAAGCGCCGGTTCCGCGGCCGGAAACAAAGGCGTCATCTCTGGAGCTGAAGCCGCTGGAGACGTCCCTCGATTGCGAAGTTCGGGTTGAAAGAAACCGACGAATCTCAATGCATTGCTGTCGTTCTTCGCACTTGGCGAGACACCCGACCGGACCGCAACCGCGCCCAGGCGCAACGAGGTCCGGCACGAGCGCCGGACGGAGCGCGACGACTTCGGCGGACGCCGCCGCGGTTCGCCGCGGGGCGACCCACGGGTGTCCCAGGCGCGCGGGGGTCGGGCCGATGGGACGGAAGAAGCTGAAGAACATCGCAATTGGAATGGACGGAAGACAACATAGAGAAGTTGGTTGTTGGATGAGTGTCAGTGTCAGGTATATTTCCTCATGGTGAGCGAGGCAGTGGAAATATGGGTTCAACTGTACGGACTAAGATTCAGATATCAAATTTGGTGTTGTGTTTCTTCTTGTCTTGAGCTAGCGTGGACCTTACGTGAGTTTGGATGCTTTGGTGTTTTTTGCCTGGTTCACGTACCAGACAACCAGAAAGACGTGCTTCAAGTGTTCCAAGTTAAAAACATGCTCAGAAGACTGCAGTCCTGCAGAAAGGGCTTCCGGTGGACCTGCTTCTTTGTGATTGTTCTCAACATTTCTCCCGGGTGGTCTACCATGTTCATGTTGCAAATTGCTTCTGGTATGGTTCATGCTTACACAATCTTATGCAGAGAAAAAAGGCATTCAGGTCATTTTCATGTGAGCAGTGTCCAACACCATTGAGCAAGCGATTATGACAGCGATTATGACATATGATTCGAACACCACCGCACCAGCTTTTCGCCGTGATGTCTTCATGCAAACTGCAAGTACTCTGCTAGGTTGGAGGCCAACGCTATTAGGTTGGAGGCCATCGCTATTATGTTGGAGGGCATCGCTCTTAGGTTGGATGCCATCGCCCTTAGATTGGAGG